CGCCTTGAAATCATTTAGAAAGTGCTCTCGTTCGACGGGACTCTGGCAACCATCGGGCCATCCGCTCGCCTCGTACTTCAGCTTCAAAAATAACCGCATATATGCTGAAAAGAGACCTTTTTCGGGAATTACCTTCCAATCTGGATCCGACTCTGTCCATTTGGACCAGTGCCAAACCTCGATAACGTCCAAAATCTCATAGCCGTGTTCGAGGGCTAGTTCTAACTCAAACGACGTCCAAATATCCCTAATTTTCCGTTGATCTACCGTGTGCGCGCAGGCTTTGTAGCCGAGATTTTTCCCATTTTCGCAGCGCTCCTTCATGCAGGCTCGGCAAAGCGTATAAATCATTTGTTGCTTATAACTAATCGGTAAGATTGCAATTTTCAAATTCCTTGGTGGCAAAACTGTACAAAAATACATACCACGGTAAGCCAACTTTCGAGAGTCCACGGTGTTATCCGGTGGAAAGATGACTTCCGGCTCCCCGATTGGGAAAGGGGAGAAGGCGCCAACTGCCGCGTAAAGCGAAACCGCATCGTAATAGTGGATAAATTCACCTTCTTTTAAATTTGCGCGCATGTGAAAAGTTTGCGTTCGACCCCCGCGAAAACCATTACGTGGTATCAAGTTGCCCGTGAAATCATACCTCTTGATAAATTCGGCCATCTCCTTGTTTTCTCGACACTGTTGCTTGATCTCACATTCCCAGACCATTACGACATCAAAACCATCGTCTTCCAGCTCGTCCTTTCTAGCCATCGTGTAGTCGTACAGCTCCTCCATTGTTTTCCCGGAAAAGGGGCTCTTCAGGTTGCGATCCATGATGCATGGACATCCGTGGAATGCACAGCCATTGACCTCATAAGCGATTCGTGTGCCGTCGTCGAGTTGTCGATACCCATCGAGTTTAAACGTACGGCCCGATTTCACTGTCACCGTTTTCTCGCCGCCAAAAGTGGCCCTCTGGATTTGAATATCCTGCTCCTTTTCCAACCATGCCAAGTATTTTTGACTGATTGCCGAGACAAAGTGTGGAGAAAGCCCGTATTCGGGGATAATTGCAATAGGGTATTCGGGATTATGAAAATTATAGCGAAAGGTTTTAAGACAGGTAGAAGCTAACGTAATTTCCTCTTGCAACGGGTCGAAACCGGCATTTTCGATGAAAAATTTGCGAAATTTCATCATACCCATCATCAATACTAGGCTATCATTCTTAGAATACTCCCTGAATTCGTCCTCCCAGACAAAAGGAACCCCGTTTTGCTTTTTCTCACTTAAAAATAAGCGCAGTTCTTTGACCTGTTTGACCGACATCGTGTCGGCACCGAAATATTTTGGATCTGGCCATTCATTGGAGGTTTTATGCGCTGCGGTAAGGAATAGCGGATAAAAACCCTTCTTTTCGGGCAAGTCAAAGCAAGCAGCATATTGGCTGAGGGGAATCGAAGCAAAGTTTCTACTATCCAAAAACCTTATACGATTAATGAGAGACTCTTGTTTAGAGGGGGTATTTTCCGGGTTCCATTCCGAGTTCCCTTGTGTGCCTTTTTTCAACTTTGTAATAAATTTCTTTCTAGGTCTTATAAAATCCATGCTCAAAATTTTTTGGCCATTAAAAATTACTTGCGGGATTATCCCTAGTTTGATGCAATGTTTGAGGACAAAATGAGTGTCGTAAGACCCTCCATTCTGCGCTATGCAGGTATAAAGATCATTTTCGTGATTGAAAAGGAGAAAGCGACAAAACCGTTCGATCAGCTCGTCCGGATCTTTCCCGGGCAGAGGTTCCCAGATTTGTACACCTACGGGCCCGCATTGAGGACAGAGCCAATCACGCGGTGCATTGCGTTTGCTTTCTATATTGGTTGGAAGAAGGTCCTTTGGGGCGCATAAATTGCAAACTTTGATAAACGAAATTAGATTAACGGTATGCCGGGGCAGCCAGATGATATCCCCATTCTCATCATGCCTAACGCAGTCCGTCTCAAAGTCAAAGAAGAGAAAGCGGAACGTCCCAGCTTTTGCCTGGGATTGCAAGCGTTTAGCATCGTCAACGATTTGCCAAGAACATTTGTGAGAAAGAGGCATATCCGTTCGACATTTACCACAATATTTTGTGAAGCATTCATGGGTTTTCAAAAGAATTTTCTTCATCTCTTCAGCGCAAGAGATGCATTTATGAATGCGCGAAGTACACTTGTTTTTTCTTAGATGGTTTTCAAAGCATTGGGAATTTGGAAACGTTCTCCTACAGGTTAGGCAAGAGATCTGCTCTCCGACCATGACTGGACAGGTCCTATCTTCGTTCTGACAGTAGGAGCAAGCCATTCGGCAATGGGTATGCGAGGTGCTATTAGTTTTGAGAACTCCGCATCGTTTGCAACAAAATTCTAAGCGTGGGCGTTCTCGGCCATTAAACACTTGTTGGGGTGTGAAAAAAGCGGAGTAGTGGTTCTCGGAATAGAGGATTTTTAAGAGGGGTTCTTGTGAATGGGTGGGGGAAAACAGCATTGCTCCGTTATTGTCATAAACAACGATCCTATATTTCCCGTTCAATGATCTTTGTATGGCAAGTACTTCTCTTAATGACATTGGTCTTACATCCTTAGGACAAAAATTTGGGAAACATTTGGCGGCAAGCTCCAACCCCAAAGCATTGGCATATTCCCAACTAATGCAGATCCGGTCGAGCTCTTTTTTAAGGATTTCATATCTACCGTTTGTATAGCATTTGGGATCTTGGATGGTAAGCTTCTCCAAGTCTGCATTTATGATTGAACGAGCAAGAGCCCGAAGAAGACAGAGATGGTCCGCTGTGGGAGGTTCGCCCTGCAAGATATTGGTCTTATCGCGTCTACCGCTCCCGGTTATAGCCGTTTTAATGTTCACAACAACCCTCATATTTTCGTCTAATGTGTAATGCTCATTGCTTTGGGCCATATTTTCAAAAATTTCAAAGAGGGCATGGCTATCGTTCATACTACGCGTCCTAGGGGGGAGATAACATCCTTTCTTACCAGCCTCTTGAAGAGATTTATGCTCTAAAGCAACAGAAAATTCTACTTTTTCTATATCCTCGCCGGATTCGGCTACATAATCATTCAAAATCCTATTTAAAGCCACTTGGAGGGTCTTTTCCAAAAATCCCAACTCTATTTTACCAGTTAATGTCTCCCAAGTGATTACATTTTCATAAGTATAAGCATTCAGTTTCTTATGAAACTTTTTAAGGAGAGCACCCTAGTCAAAACGTCTAAGTTCATTGTCAGTATAAATCTTATCGGGCTCCCGGGCTGTTAAAAACCATTTCCCCTCAACACCAACCTGAATTTCCGGAGGCGGCATGCTGTCGTCGGGCAGTTGCTGAAGCGGCTCTTCTTGTGGTGTAGGGCTCGGTGAGGGGCTGTAGTCTACCAGTCGTCGAGTAAATTCAGGAGATTGGGGAGGGCGTACCGAGCGGTCGGAAGATCTCGAACGTTTCATGAAAACTTTTTTTTGGTGCTAGAAAGGAATTTCGTATTTCCGTGATTGCAAGCTTCACGTCGGAAGGTAGTTTCGAAAGTCGGAAGGTAGTTTCGAAAGTCGGAAGGTAGTTTCGAAAGTCGGAAGGTAGTTTCGAAAGTCGGAAGGTAGTTTCGTAATTCTTCCGGAAAAAGCAGAAAGGGTTTCGAAACTTGGCAGAAAAATTCACAAATCGATCGAATCACAAATCGAAAAACAGAAAAATCGAAAACAAAAAAAAGTAGGTCTGGAATAGGAAGTTCTGAAAGATCCTGAATAGTTCGGGAGGATCACAGAATGGCGTGCCCGAAGCCTGCGCGCCCTTTTATTGGGCCATGCAAGGTGCGGCGAGCCACAGCTTGTCACATTCAGTGACATTCAGTGATTTTTTTCCGCGCATCACCATTTGTCAAAATTCATCTGGGGTAGACCTTCACCGATGGGGGGCGGTCCTTCCTCATTCTAGATCCCTGACATGTGGTGACAACCTGTGACATTCTGTGATCCTTTTTTCCGGGAATTACCATTTGTCAAGATCCATATGGGGTCCCCCGATGGGGGGCGGTCCTTCCTCATTCTAGGTCCCTGACATGTGCGATGAGTCACCACACCCTGTGACACTCCGAATTACCATTTGTCAAGAACCATATAGGGCAGACCTCCCTGCTAGGGGCTACAAGCGATCCGCTTTCACGTTGGGACTTGTTGAAACATGTTGTATGGGATTTAAAGTGATATATTTTTGTTTCTGAAATAAAGTTTTGAGAAATCAAGTTTTGAAGAACAAAGTTTTGAAGAATAAAGTTTTGTAGAATCAAATCTTGAAGAATAAAATGAAATAAAATAAAGTTGTGTGGTATGAAATAGAATAAAGTTGTAGTGATGTTATTTTGTTGCTGAAATAAAGTTTTGAGAAATAAAGTTTTGAAGAATAAAATGAAATGCAATAAAACCTTGAGAAATAAAATGAAGTTGCATGAAATAAAATAAAATGAAGTTGTGTGAAATAAAATAAAGTTGAAGGGGGGTGCCAAAATAAACCTGAATAATATAGTAGTCTTGCCATTGGAGGTGAAAGTCCTTTAAAATCTCTGCTAGCTTGCCAAAAGCTTGCGATTCCTCAAAAATCTGTGCTAGCTTGCCACGGACTTGTGTTTCCTGAAGAATCCTTGCTAGCTTGCCAAAAGCTTGCAATTCCTCAAAACTCTCTGCTAGCTTGCCATCAGCTTACAATTCCTGACGAATCTCTGCTAGCTTGCCTTATCTTTAAAGTGGCCTTAGGATTCCATAAGAATCTCAGCTAGCTTGCCGTTTGCCGTAAAATTTGTTCAGAACCTCTGCTAGTTGTCTTCTCATTGAAGTGAATCTTTATGTCGATCGTCGTCGGCGTTGTAATTCCTGAAGAATCCCTGCTAGCCTGCCCTAGTCTCAGACATAGGCTAATTTACCCCAGAATCGCTGCTAGCTGGCCTTCAAAACTCCCTATTTTTCAGCAATCCTCCGTCCAAACGGCCGTCAACACGGCCAATCAGAATGGCTATGTCGATTGCGTCGTTCGGAGACAACTTGGAAATACTGGCGATAAAGAGGTATTTGCTTTCCTATTGGACAACGAAAATTAATGTTTTAAAGGACTGTTGAAGACGCAAATAAAAACCAAAAAACCATTTTAATAGATATTCGACCTGAACGGGACCTACATCATTTTATTAGCGACGGGGCCGGTTGGAGCGGATGGAGGTGAGCTGAGAAAAATTATTTCAATGAAAAATAAATTGAAAATAAAATTTTAAGGTAAATTGTAAACCGCTGTTGAGTGGACCGTAGAAAATTTGCATAATTTAGCCCCCGGCTACCACGGCGAAACGAAATGGGTGATGCCCCGAACGGATGTGGCCAGCTATGGGACGGACGCGCAGGGGAATGTCATCATGCGTGTGTTTTTTAACGAAAGGCGAAAATTATGAATTAGTGTTTCAAAATAGCGTAACATAGGCTCTATTGTATCATTACAGGCGACTCCAATGGCCAGACCGGCGGGAGCAAGCATTCGACGAACGACAAGCTGAAAATTGCGCATGGTAAGTCAGGAATCTATCGCTCTCGCTCTCTCTCTCTCTCTCTCTCTCTCTCTCTCTGCCTCTTACTCTCTCTTTCTCTTTCTCTAACTCTCTTTCTCTATATAGCTTGCTCTCTCTCTCTTACTCGTGCTCCCTCTCTCTTGCGCTCCCTCGCTCCCTCGCTCGTTCTCGACTTCGCGCTCAATCTGTCTCTCCATGCCGCGAGAGACAGAGGGCTAGGACGAGAGAGCGGGACAGAGAGAGAGAGTGAGAGCGAGAGGGAGAGAGTGATACCCGACCTCCCATTAATGCGCTACGTACAGGTATCCTAATGGTATTGGCCTGGTCAGTCTTCATTTTCACCGGCATCCTCTTCGCCCGCCACTTCCGGGGCCACTGGCCCGACACGACGTTCCTGGGGGTGAAAATGTGGTTCAACGTGGGTCTAGATTTTTAGTGAGGCCAAGCCAGCATTTTTTTGCCTTCCCAGTCCTTTTAAAATGTTTTCCGCACTTTTCCGAGCTAGGAATTTCAACATTTTCAGTTCCACCGTACCCTCAACATGATCGGCGTCGGCATGACGATTGCAGCCTTTGTCCTAATTTTTGTGGCCAACGACTGGCGATGGACCGGGCCGAAGGCGTTCGCTACTAAAGAGGAGGTGATTTGGAGTTCAAGCTCAAAAGAAGAGTCTGATTTCTAGAACCAAGCTTGGAGCTCGATTCACTCGATTCTTGGCCTCCTTGCTTGTGTTGTCGCTTGGGCGCAGCCGCTAAATGCTGTATTCAGATGTGACCACGATTCGAAGGTATGTTTCTCTCACTCGCTCTCTCTCGCTCTCTCCCGCTCTCTCTCTCTCTCGCTCTCTTTCTCTCTCGCTCTCTAACCCTGTCTCTCTCTTTTTTTCTGTCTCTCCCTGCTTTGCTGGCTGTCTATTAGGTTGGAACTAAAGTTCGCGCAATATTTTCCTTTCGTTGTAATTTTCGGACCGGAAAACGGGCAAGAACCAAAATGTTTTTTGGATGAACGGATATGCAATAAAATTCTCTATTCGATGTGTGGGACGGAATCGCGTTGCTTCCCTATTAGAATTTTTTAAAGCTAGATTTAAGCGAAAATGAAAAATCGCTTCGGCCCGCCTTTACAAAACAAAATTGACTTCTTTTTAGGCTAATTCGGCATGCAGCTGATAGATATAACTTATTATTATAGTGATGATCAGTTCCTATGGTGACTTTATGGCGGTTCGGAAAGATGTCCGGGTCAAAAATTTGAAGTGCCCTCGAGAGAAACGCAAAAACCTTCAAAACTACTGGGGCTAAAAACCTGTAATTTTGATCCGACATTCTCATGAACCCAATGGATATATGCAAAGAGGGAACATCGGAATCTGACCACTAAATTTTCAGAAAGAAACCAGGGTTGAAAACCCGCTACGCGGCTTTTCACCCCTGGCCTTTGCGCGGAGATCCCTCGAAGCTGGGCATTTGCATAATTCTAGCGAATTAGCGCCAACCTCTCAACCCTAATAATCGCAAAAGCGACCGACTGAGAGCGTGACAAAATCCGAAATGAGCTTCCTAACGCTCTTATGCAAATGAGGTTATTTCCATATGTTTTTAAATCGCTAAAATAAGGTATAAATCGTCATTTTATTAAAAATCTGATAAGCTTGCAGTAATCTACGCCCTCGACTACCCCTAAATACTTTTCGACCCGGTCCTAAAATTCTCCCCCCTTCCCGATATCTTGGTAACCCGGTTTTTTTCGAGCCATTTATGCAAAGTGTCCACACACAAACACACAAACACTATTTTTTTATATATAGTAGGATTTCCAAAGTTCGATTGCGCGAACTTATGTTCCAACCTAATATATTTGGGTATGTCTGTCTCTCTCGCTCTTTCTCGTGCTCCATCTCCCGAACTCTACGATCTCTCTTGCTCTCGCTCTCTCCTTCTCCCTCCATCGCGCGATCTCTCTCTCCCCAACCTCCATTCCAGGCTCGCCCCATCTTCAACATGATCCACCGATTCTTCGGCTTCTCCGCCTGGCTAATGGCTGGTAGACAGTTTTCCTGAATCCCTAAAATCCATCCCACCTACAGTAGCCGCCACCATGATCGCCGTCGTGCACTTCAACGGCATGTTCAGCAACCGTGACGCGGCCCTTGGCCTCTATATCGCCTTCGTGGCGGTGGCCGGGTTGACGCTGATCGTTTTGGAAGTAATCTGGATTCGAAGTAAGCTAAAAAATCGGAAATGGGCTGTTAGCGCTTCTTGCCACCCACGCTAAAAAACCAGTACCAGAAAAATCAGCAAAAAATCATAAGCATATTTTTAGACTGGTTCGCGGCACGGCGAGGCGTGAGCAACGAGATGGAGATGGTCCGAGTGGGTGCCGGCACTGGCGGGGTGGTGCTGAGGGAGGATGTGCAGAAAGTAGAGCCACAATTCTTCTTATTCTACTTCTTCTACTGCTCTGATTTGCTGTCTTCTCGTGGTCTCTAACTCAAGATATGTCTCTTGCTCTCTCGTTCTGCCTATATTTCACTCTCACTCTCACTCTCTCTTTCTGTATCGCTCTCTCTCGCTCTCTCTCTCTCACTGGCTCTCTCTGGCTCTCGCTCTCCGAGTACCTCTCACACTCTACCTCTCTCACTGTCTGGCGCTCGCTGTCTCTTGCTCTCCCGTTCTTGCTCTCCCTCCTCCCTCTCTCTCTCTCTCTCTCTCTCTCTCTCTCTCTCTCTCCACGGCTACTCTGCAGAACCCACCTCTAAGCAACATTCCACATCCCTGTAGCGGCTTCCCTTTGTTGTCATCTGTAGCCTACCGTACCCCAGCGTACTGTAGCGTACACCACCGTACTATGGCGTTTTAACGTACCCAACTTTCCGATGCACGCTTTCCCTTTGCACAGCACATTAATCGACGTCTCCAGAAAAAAATGCCGGAATTTCCAGATCCACCGTCTCCAGATGGCCATCCTGCTCCTCTATCTGGTTTGCGCCATCGGGCTAGCTGTCGCCATTTGTGTGCTGATTGGGCTGAAACCCGGCGACCTGGCATAAAAAAAATATTCTCGCCTTTTTTACCTATTTTTAACCTATTTAAGCCCATCAAAAAAGCCAAAAATATATTGTCATATTTTATCGTTTCACTTAAATACCCCCGCCCATCACTTGTCTCGCCGCCCATTTTCATGTCGTAACCGATTTCAGCTGTATCCAAAAGCTTTATGGGACTACGGTGGTGACTACCGTATTTTTCTGCCTAAATTGATGATTTTATTGGAATTTCTCCTCCTCCTCCAGAGTGCTGCTCACCTTCACTTTCAAGATTTCTGCAAAAGTATCGCGTTTTTTTGACGTTTCCCCTGCGTGCTATGCATAAATTGTGGAAGATTTTTGTTTATATAATTGCGTCTAAAAATACATTTTTAGGGAATCTTGGTACTTATTGCTTAGCGGGGGGGGGAAAAGAATTTTTGGCATTTATCGGTGTAATACGCATTTTCCGGAAAGGTACAAGTTCTGCAACCAAATTCTGGAAATTGATGTCCAATTTTTTTTTATTTTCAGCATCACCTTGGCGAAATTCGGGAAGCCAATTGGTCCCCGCTATTTATTTTTTTCCCAGCCTGACTAAGCGAAACATCGAAATCGATTGACTGATGATTGCTGAAAGGCTGTAGATGATCAGTAGAAATTTTTTTGCTAAAAATATGGCGTTTTCGGCGTTTCCCCTGCGTGCTATGCATAAATTTCAGAAGATCTTGATTTTCAATATAATTTTGGTTAAAAATACAGAATTCATAAGAAATCTGGGTACCTCTCTTTTAGCAGGGGGTGTTACCGATGGGAATTTAAATTTTTTGCAGTATCCAACCTCCGATTACAGAAGCGGCTGAAAATCGATGATTTGCAAAAGCGTTCTAAATTCCTTAAATTTGATTATCGTCCTTTGAATTTTACGATTTTTTATAGAATTCGAAAAGTTGTTTTCTCCGCTCACTTGGTGAGATGCTGACAAAATTACTGCTGCTCCTCGTTTCTTTGGCTTTTGTGGGTTGATTTTGGTTTCATTTAGGTTTTTTGAGTACAAACGCTGTTTTCCAGACTTCAGTGGTCCTTTAAAATAGCTAACAGCTAGCGGAGATTCTTTGAGAATTAAAGAAAGATGGCTTGAAACCGTTTTATTGCCTTTAACGGCCCTTTAGAACGGCCAACAGCTAGCAGAAATTCCTTAGGAGGCCCAATTCATCACGGTTTCCAGGTGCTGGCCGACTTCAACCTGACGGACTGCAACAAGTCGGGCGGCAAGGGTTGTCTCTTCGCTCCGCCTCAATGCCAGCCAAACGTCGACTGCAAGGTCCACATCTCGTACAGGGTACGGTAGTATACTGACGTACTCTAGCGTGTGACGTAGCGCAGATTAACCGGGCTGCGGGGTCTATCGTAGCGTTACGTAGCGCACGCACACTACGGTAATTGTAACGTACAGTCGCCCCTAACAACGTACGGTTCACTGGCGTACTGCGGCGTACCAGCGCGGAACTGTAGTGTTTGGTACAAAGCGTACTGATGCGTACTGATCGCAGCTTACTGTACGTTAGGGACGACGACGTTAGTGGAACCCAGCGTTGCGTAGCGTACTAACGTAGTGTATCGTACTAGCGTACCTTACCTAGCAAATTTTGCGGCAGTACCTACTGTAGCATACCGTAGCGTAACGTAGTGAATCGGTGCGTATTGTAGCGTATTTTATCGAAGCACACGGCACGGGGTTTTGCACGCAGCGGATCGTAGCGTAGCGTCCCGTATCTTAGCGTATAGTAGCGTAGCATACTTTCTCCAGCTGGCACCATCCCTGAAAACCCTTCAGATTTGCCCTTTCCAGGTTGAGGGCGCCGACCTGGTGATCGAGCTGGGCGGCACGATGCAGCCGGAGCAGTATATGGCCGTCGGCTTCTCGTTGAGTGGCGCAATGGTAAGAAAATGGCAAACTTTATTAAACGCATTTCTTAATCAAAATTTAAGTCAATTCCGTGCTAATTTAAACGTAACTTTCAGAAAGAGACGTCGGTGAGCGGATGCTACCTCAACACCGACTCCAAGATCCACGGTTTCGTCGGCTACATCCCCAGCAAGCGCGAGGTGGAGATGGTAGGTTTGAGGAGTCGCACTCCGTTTATTGGACTTGTCGGACTTGACGAACTTGTCTTCCAGATCCCGTGGGATCTGCAGCGGCTCGACCACGACGCGTCGTCGTACGAGGATGGCCGACTGGTGTGTACGCTTCGACGACAGATGAGCGAGACCAACTACCAACTGGTGAGTCTAACTCACACTCCCTCTCATGCTAGCTCGCTCCCTCTCATCTTCTCTTTCTCTCTCATCTTCTCTCTCACTCTCTTTCGCTCTCTCTCTCTCTCTCTCTCTCTCTCTCTCTCTCTCGCTCTCTCTCTCTCATTGGGAGCTTTTCCAGATTTACGACCTGAACGCTCAGGAGTACACGATCCTCACCGCCCGCGGACCCTACAAAGGAGGTACGGTAGCCGGGCCAACTCAATTTTTGGTACTGGGCTATTAGCGGGGGGGGGGGAAAGAATAGCATTTTTATTTTTCTAGCTTATTTGGGCCTTTTTGGTCCTTTCCATGCATTTTTCAGCAAAAAGTCAAAATCTCCAAAATTGTGATAATTTTTTCTGGGTTTTCTAAATTAAAACAGTTTTAAATTCCATAAAAATTGTTTATATTTAGTTAAGGGGCCGCTTTATCACCCCGCTAACAACCCAGTACCGAATTTCCCCCTTCAGCCCTCCGCAAGCACGAGTACAAGATGGCGATCGGCATCTACAATCTGCACGAGTTTGACGTGGGCTACGACTCGGCCGGTTACGGTAATTCAGAGGCGTCACCCCGCCTTTAAAATCCCATTTTTAGGCGCCCACTACAGCTTCGCCCTCATCACGGCCGTTCTACTAATTCCCATGCTGCTCACCTGACGCCCTCCACGCATTAATGGAGTACTCGACTCGGCGGATAATCGATTGTCTCTCTCTATTTATTTTCTTCTCGTTTTCTTGCTGCTGTCGATTCAATAAATTTTTGTCGATTTTGGGTGAATTTTGGGTGCTTATGCATTATCGGGTGGAGACAGAAATCAACTTTTGAGTGAATTTTGGGAGCTTATGCATTATCGGGTGGAGGCAAAAAAACAAATTTTGAGCGCCGATTTTGGGTGTATTTCGGGTGCTATGGCATTATCGGGGGGGGGGGGGTCCGGGAGAAATCGACTTTTTTGCGAAAGTTATGGCGTCATTTGTGTCGAAAAATCGATTTTTTTTTTGCAATTTTTGCTTTGTTAAATTGCATTTTGCTCGGAAATTTGATAAATTTGAATAAGCTTAAAACGCCAATACCATCTACGAATTTTGCTAGCTTTTCTGGCCACTAAAATACACGTCATTCAACCCTTTTCACCAGAAAATTGGTAAGCCCTTCTCCAGATTTTTATGCTAATTGGGATGTAGACAATCTAATTTATGCAAATTTCCAGATGCTGCCACGATTTCTACCCTTACTCGGAGTGCTCCTCGTCGGCGCCCTGGCCGTCTCGGTGACGCCGGGCTCGCCGCCACCCTCCGCCGCCCCGAACACTTGCGCTCAGCAATTTCAGGTAGCGAGCGAGAGAGAGAGCGAGAGAGAGAGAGAGAGAGAGAGAGAGTCAAACTATTTTTTTTCAGAAATTCCCTCCGCAGTCCATCCTCGAGGAGCAGTGCAACTTCCAGCGCGACTTGCGCGCCCCGTGCGCCGCCGTGGCGTCGGCGCTGAACACGAAGAGCCCGGGGTGGATCAAGGCGCATGGTGGGGCGTCATCAATGCATCATTTCGCGTGTTCCAGCGCCAAACTTCTGAAAAATGAAGAATCCGCGACAAATTTTAATTAAAAAACTTCTAACATTTTAAAGGGGTAGTGACACCTAGCTGGAAACCCATCATTGGTGCTTAAACAGTATTTTGTACAGGAATCCTGATGTTAATGGCCTGGCTGTGCTGCCTGTTCACTGGGATCTCGGCAGCTCGCCATCTACGTAATTGGATGCCCGAAAAGGTGTTGCTCGGCGTGAAGATGTGGTTCAATGTGGGTGGAGCACGAGCTCGTAGCACTCTCTCCCTCTCTCTCTGTCTCTCTCTCTCTCTCTCACTCTCTCTCTTTCTCCCGCTCTCCCTCTCTCTGTCGCTCTCGCTATCTCTCTTCTCTCTCGCCCTCTTTCGCGCTCCCTCTCACTCGCTCTCTCTCTCGCTCTTTCTCTCTCAATGACTCTCTCTTTTCTATCTCTCTCTTCCAGATCCACCGTGGCTGCAACATTCTCGGCCTCGTCTTGATGTTCATCGCCCTCACCGTAGTCCTCGTCGGCAATGGGGGCACCTGGAGGGGAATTGGCAGAGTACGTTTGACTTTCCGGCCCCCTAAAGCTTAATTTTTTACCTTCAATGATCCTTTAAAACATCGAATTTCCAGCCAATGACCCCCGGGAACGCCCATGCCTGTATCGGTCAGCTGGCCGTCTTCTGCGCCCTCCTCCAACCCCTGAATGCGTACATCAGAATGCTTCCAGGGGGTACGGTAGGTGACTGGTGTTACTCTCCCTTTAAAAGGAATATTCAGATGCGGCTGATGTTCCTGATCCTGCACCGCTTCTTCGGCTATCTGGCGGTTGTTTGTGCCGGTGAGGAATTTTGGGGGGGAATTACGAAAATTTCGGGGCTGCGAACTACAACTTATTGTGTAACGGTTCATGTGCGTTATCGGGGGGGGGGGGGGATTAAATTTTCCCATAACTCTAAAAAACGCTAAAAAACTATCTAAAATTATCTGGAATTTTCGAAATTCGAAATTTGCCAAATCGGCGAATTTCGCCGCAAAAACCGATAACCTCCCAATAATGCACAAGCACCCAACGAAAATCAGGAGATTCTCAAACTATAAGCTTCAGGCTAAAAATTAATTATTAACCACAAGCTACAAACTACAAAATCACCGCCCATTTCCAGAGCTCGCCATCGGCTTTGCCATCATCAATTTTGGCGACTACATCGCCAGCCCAACTACGGCTTTCAGTAGGACCCGGATTGCCGGTAGATGACCATCAACTCTTAGGCGTCTGGGTGGTGCACATGTCGGCGATGGTGTTCCTCTTCTTCCTCGACAACTTCGTCACGTCCAACAGGGCCCTCATCGATCGTCTCCTCAGCGGAAACCAGGATTCGAACGATGGAAGGGCTGAGAGTAGGTTTTTGCATTTTTTTAGGTTTTTGGGTCGCGCAACGATTTATCGATGGCTTTTCGGTATCTTTAAAATTGGTTAGGATCTTGTGTATTAGCGGGGGTGGTGGGGAAAGGGGCAATTTAAGGATCTAAAAACCTTCGAAATTCTGAAAACCCTAAAAAAATTTTTTTGAGCGTTTGTAGGTCCGGAACAATCTTTCCGCCACTTTCCGAGCTCCTTAAAATCAGCAATTTTAGAGCTTGAAGGCACCGACTCGGTCGTGGAACTCGAGCACGGCGAACGCTCCCACCACAGCGCCAAGGAGAGGACCAACGAGCCGCCGTCGGATCGGCTGCCAAGTGATCGTCTACTGAGTGAGAATGTGGCCACTGCCAAGCTGGATACGCTACGGACAATGCCTACGGAACCGCCGGTTGCTTTCTTTCTTTCTCTCTCTCTCTCTCTCTCTCTCTCTCTCTCTCTCTCTCTCTCTCGCTCTCTCTCTCGCTCCCTCTCTCTCTCTCACCCATTTCGTTTTCAGAGAAAAGGCGCCGGAGCAGACGAAAAAGTCGGCAAGTCAGCAAAATCCGCCAAGTCGAAGAAGTCGGAAAAGTCCAAAAAGTCCGAAAAGTCGAAGAAGTCCGACAAACACGCAAAGTCAACCCGAAAAGTGGCTACCAAGTCGGGCAAGGGCAAGAAGGAGACCCCAGCTGCGGAATCCGGAAAGTCTGGAGGCAAGACGGGAGGTTCGGGCGGATCGGGCGGATCAGGATCCGGAGGCACATCCGGAAACTCGGGAAAAGAACGGAAGAAGGCGACAAGGAAGGAGCCGTGCAAGGGGCAGAAGCCGATAGGTGAGAATCAAGATAGCTTGAAGGCAGTTAGCATTTGGGGATTCGGGTCAGGAGCTAGCTAGCAGACTCTTTGAGAAATCCAAAATCGAAATCTGGCAAGCTAGCAGAGTTTATTTGGGCCAGGCAGGCTAGCAGAGATTCTTGAGGAAATGGATTAGGCACTAGGGGCAAGTTAGCAGAGATTCTTGAACGAAAAACGAGACGGAGAGAGCGAAAGAGAGAAGGAGGGATAGAGAGAGAGACAGGAGCGCTAGCAGAAAATCTTGCAGAATTTGGGGCAAGATAGCAGAGATTTTTGAGGAAGAGTTAAAGGGCGAGCTAGCAAAGATTCTTTAGGAAAAGACGGCAAAGGGCAAACGAGCGGAGGCTCTTGAGGAAAACCTTGTTTCTTTGAGCTATCAGGGACTTTTCCGGATTCCAGACCAAAAGCCAACCCCTGCCGCCCCTGCCGCTCCTGTTGCGGCGGCTGCTGCTCAACCACCAAAAGCGGCTGCTGCTGCTCAGCCTCCAAAAGCCACCGCTCCTCCTCCAAAAGCTGCTGCTCCGCCCCCAAAACCCACTACCGAAAAGCCTGATCCTGCCGCAAAGCCTGCCGTCAAGCCAGCCAAGCCCGTGACCGTCGGCGTGAAGAAGCCAGTCCCGGTTGCAGTATGTGCGTAGTATCGATGGTTTTCTCTTAATTTTACTGTATTTTTACAGTATAATATTGTTTGTGTAGGCTCACACTATCTTCCAGGCGTCATGAGCGCCAAGGACGGCGCCGCCGTGCAGGTGTGCGCTGATGAAGGTCGGTTCTTTGACATTATCGGGGGAAGGAGCATAATTTTTTCCTATCGATCTCTTATTTTATTTTAATTTTTTAGAAAGGGTGCAAGTAGAGGTGGGAACGAGGATGGAGGTGAGGGCATCGTCGAGCCCAGAGGTGAGAGAGAACGAGCGAAAGTGAGAGAGAGAGAGAGAGAGAGAGAGAGAGAGAGAGAGGGAAAGAGGGAGAGAGATGAGCGATAGGGAGACAGTAGAGAGAGAGAGAAACAGAGACAGGAGAGCGAGCCCATTTTCCTCATTTTCCAGTCCCACCACTTCTTCAACCACATGATCCTCTGTGCCAAGCTCGTCTGCTCCATCTTCACCTTCTTCATGCTCGCCATCCTCATCCTGGCCCGCTAAGCCCAAGCTCACCTAGCCAGCGAAGCCAAGCCAACGAAGCCGACTTCCCCCTCAGAAATCCGATCGAATGAAATGCAAACAATTTATGGCCTTACTGTCCAAATTACCCGCCCCCCACACACCTTGCTGTCTCACTTTCTCTAGCATCTCTCTCGCTTTGGCCTACTATTTCTCGCCCCTGACTACTACGATTTTCAGGTCGTTGTAATTACTTTTTTGTCTGTGAATAAAGCTATTCTAATAAATTGCTCAAGATTCTATGGATTTGCAGAAAATTTAGTAATATCGAACAGCAAAATTTTGCGTATTTTTTACGATTTTCTAAATATCCTATAGTCGGTCAAAAAGTTGCATAAATTTGCATAAAAAAACAGGTGTTTGGGCGCCATTATTGGTATGTAAATTCGCTGGAATCGCTGTCGTCACTGTTGTCAGCTGTTGCATCGTCCAGCGCGGCCGAGTCATCTGAAAATTTGCTTAAAAATTTTGCTAAAACACTTAAATGAAGTTATGGCTAATTTAAATTTTTTTTGCATAATTTGGTATTAAAGCTAAGCTAAATATAATTTTATGGAGTAGAGCTTGAATTGCGATATTTCCATAAACGCTACTTGCCAAAATTGCCAGTTTTCAAAGCAATGAAGTCGGTTTTAAGTTTGATCAATTACGGAAAATGGATCCTTACCGTAAACCGGCGCAACATATTCAGCAGGTGCAGTGGCGTTGCTCAAAGCCGCCTGCTTGAAGTCCTCGACGCTGTATTCCCCGACGCCTTGTCTAAAGAGAATAGCATTGTTGATGGGCGTGCGGTGGAAAGCTCAAAATTGTCAAAAAAACGTACTGGCCAGTCGGGGTGGCGATCCGTGGGCCATTCTTGAGGATGTCGGCCAGGTTGATGCCCATTACGACGAGCATGAAGACTGGAAAAATCAGGGTTTCGCTCTCTCTCTCTCTCTCTCACTCTCTCTCTTCCTCTCGCTACCTCTCTCTCCCCCGCTCTCTCTCTCCCTCTCTCTGTCATACTCTCACCCTAGCATCTTTACGGTTAGCGCTCGCTCTCTACATATTTAAGCGACGGTGCCAGTCGTGTTAGATGAAGAGAGAGAGAGAGAGAGAGAGAGAGAGAGAGAGAGAGAGAGAGAGAGAAGAGAGAGCTAGCGAGAGAGAAAGAAAGATAGAGAGAGCTAGCGAGGGAGAGAGAGTGAAAGAGAGAGAGTGAAAGAGAGCGTGAAAGAGAGAGAGAGAGAGTGAGAGAGAGAGAGTGAAAGAGAGAGAGAGAGAGAGAGAGAGAGAGAGAGAGAGAGAGAGAGAGAGAGCGCGCGCGAGACATGCTTACCTATCGACACAACTCCCAGCGGCTTCGGCTGATCTGCCGGATACCGTACTGCCAGCACGGCGGCTGGCATCCAAATCTAGGAAAAGAAACTATTTATAAAATTCTAATTCCAGACCTACCATTTTATTGCTTAAAAATTCCGAATCGATTCCAGGGCCCTAAAATTCTGGATTCCTCGATTCGGAGCCTAAATTCTTGCCTGGCAACCCGCGAGGCTCTACTGGGGAGGGTCCTGGAAACAGAGGAAAGAGAAATTTGCTAGAGGAAAAGTGGATTTTGTGTGTAAAAAGGCTTGTAACCTTTGTTTTTGTTTTTAAAGGGCCGGAAAGGGATTTAAATATTTTAAAACAAACCATTCGTTAAAAGCTGATTTCCTTAAGGTACCGTAAGCAGTAAAGTATCGTAATCGGGAGAAAAATAAGGATTTTGGAAAATTCTTGCTTTGGATTTGGGAATTGCGGTAGCTGTTTAGAATTTGAGAAAATCGCTCTGAACTATCGTAACTTGTCCACTACCGTACAACTTACTGTAGCACAGTCCCGAAAATTCGGTATTTTGGCGTTAAGCATCGTGAAAGGCCATGAAAATTGTAAATATTGCAGCAATTTTCAAAGTACCGTAACCTGGACAGTAATTTAAATATAATTTTTTCCTAATTTACTACATAATTTATAAGCTATTTTCGGGTTTTATCACCAATTTCAAGCGATCTTCCTGGCTAATCCTTTCGTCAGCTGATAAGCGCGGCGAATTTGGGGCTCGTAAATTTGCATATCCCTCCCCACCGCCCTTCCCACTCGCCACTATCATCTCTCTCTCGGCTGGATTACGCATCATCGACTCCCTCCGAGAATTTTCAGGCTATTATCCAGCCCATTTTATGGCCATAGCCACTGCCCCCTGGCACCGCGTTTTTATGGGACCCGTTTTTCAAGTTTTTCAAGTGTGGCTGCTATTTTGGGGGCGGCCGCGGGGCTTCATCATGCAAATTATGGGGGTTTTTGGGATTTTTAGCTTATCAAGAAGTTTTTTCCAGGTTCTTGTGCATTATTGGGTGGGGGGCAAGATTTTTATATATCCAAAAATCGCTATTAACGTGACAGCAAATTTTTTATAGAGTATTTGGTAAAGTTTAGCCATATTTAAAGTGGGGAAGCTATCTAAAAATTTGGTATTTTCGTGTTTTTTATTAAAATTTATAAAATTTGTACGTTAAAATTAGAAAAAAGTTTTAGAGGTAAAAGAGTTTGTCTATATTCATTAGCACGTTGGATCCGGAGTCCACCCCCCCGATGATGCAAAAGCACCGAAAAAATCGCTGCGCGCTTGTCGGGAATTGCTTCTATTTGGTCGTTTTCCTCACGGATTGCTGCTAGCCTGCCCTGAATCACTGCTTTTAGACCGTTCTCCTTAGGGATCTCAGCTAGCTTGTCTCAGCTATCAGTCCTCGCAGCCTCTTCCTTAGGACTCACTGCTAGCTTTGCTAATTTTCAGGGTTTTTGTAGGCCAGGAATAAAAGTGATTTTGCCTACCAAGTCCCCTAAAACCCACTGATTATTTGCTGATCTGCATAACCCCCTCTTCAAGTGTTTGTCGATAGGTGTATGTGGTGTGTATGTATTTGTGGGGGTGTAATGGCCTCATTGTTTGTGACACTCCAAATGAGCTGTCTCATCCCCCCCCCATCACTAGGCTTTTGAGAGCTTTTCACACAGCTTTTCGTCTCCGGGTTTTTCCTTGCACATTCATCGTAGGTGGATATTGTAAAACAACTCGTAAAATCAGTTTTTCTACTCTCTCGCTCTCTCTCGCTCTCTCTCTCTCTCGATCTCTGTCTCTGTCTCTCACACTCTCTCGTTCGCTCTCTCTCTATTTCTCTCTCGCTCTCCCTCTCTCGCTCTCCCGTTTCACGTTATCATAAAGCCCCCTCAAGTTTTCTGATTCAAATTTTCCTTCCCTTCCAGAAAGAACACTTTTTCCACCCGACAGTCAATCAGTCACCCCCCATTTCCAAAATCGGGGCGCGCAGCCTTTCCGCGTGACAATTTGATTGACAGTGGCCGAAGGGGCCGACGACACAAATCGGGTAGCTCCTGATCGAGCCCTTAATGGGGAGCTTTTCGAAGTGGGTTGAAATACGAGCCAATGAAATATGGGTTGAAATGGATGGCTTACCTTCGAAAGTTCCATCAAAAAAATCGCGAGAAACGCTTTTTAGGCATCGGGAGGCTTTTTACAGTTTAGGTCCTGCGGTTTTTAATGATCCGCTGCCGGGCTTTCCTATAGTGTCTTTTCTATCTCTGAAGCCATGGTTTTTTCCTAAAAAGTGCCCGTCCTACCCTAAAAGACCTAAAAAGGTGACCGACGCCAAGTCGAATTAGCGGTAAAGAGTGCCGAAAAAAGACGGCTTACTCGACTTATCTGATCGTGCGGCCGGATACGGGAAACTAGGCTAATTATGTGGCATTTTTGCGGCCGGTAGGGTACGGTATCGAGGTCGAGATCTGGGAAAAATCGTGCAATTTTTGGAAAATCGCCAATTTCTCTACCGGACCAAATTGGAATACATCTCGACATTAAATTAGCCAACCGCAGAGAGTGAGACTCCCAGGCAGAAGACAGAAAGAGAAAGAGAGAGAGAGAGAGAGAGAGAGAGAGAGAGAGAGCGCGAGAGAGAGTGAGTGCGAGAGAGGGAGAGGGAGAGAGAGGGAGAGAGAGGGAGAGAGGGAGAGAGAAACAGAGAGAGAGCGAGAGAGAGAGGGAGAGGAAGAGAGAGTGCGAGAGAGACAGAGAGAGAGACAGACAGACGGGCAGACAGACAGAGACAGACAGACAGACAGAGAGAGGGAGGGATAGAGACGCAGAGAGAGAGAGAGAGTGTGTTTGAGAGCGCGAGAGAGTGCAGGAGTTTTTCGTTTCTATAAGGCGCTCTTCCTCAATCTGCAGAAATACCTTTTCCCTATTCAGCCCATCTCCAAATTTCAACCCCTCCCGAAAACAGTGTGTGCCTTAATTAATGGGCCATCAATCTACTGAAGACTGAATCGCAGGCTAATCTCGTGCGCGAATCTACCCAGCCACCTCCACGAACTCGAACTCTTCTCTCTATCTTTCTCGCTCTCATTCACCCTTTCCACACCACACCTATGGACAGCCACACCTGTGGCTTCGCGGCTTATCCGGTTTTTGGATCTGCCCGGTGTTGGGTTGCGGCTTTGGTAATGAATTGCTGAAGGTGGAATTGGGATGGAAATACGGTAACTGTGGATAGCCCGAAAGCATCTCTGCTAGCCCACAGCTTCCTAAACGATCACTGCTAGCGGGCCCCGGATTCCTTCGTAATCTTAGCCAGCCTGCCCTGACGGAGTTCGTAAATGGTTTCTGCTGGCTAGCTTGTCCTGAAATCCCAAATCGTCTCTGCTAGCCTACCCGTAGATTTCTATGGATCTCTGCCTGACTGCCCCTTTCAAAGGTTCTCTGCTAGCCCACTAATCCCAAAGGATCACTGCTAGCCTCCCTCGGATTCCTAAGTTATCTCTGCTAGCCTGCCTTAACTTCGCAAATAGCTCTGCCAGCCTACCCCGATCCCCAAAAAAGGAAACATTATTTCCAGCCTGTCATCAATCAACGACTGGATGGGACCGTAAAAAAAACTCGACCTAGATATACGAGATGAAGGGACAGATTGATAGTGATATATGATAATTATCTTGCTCGATCTCTCTCTCGCTCTCTCACTCTCTCTCTCTCTCTCTCTGTCTCTCTCTCGCTCTCTCTCTCATCTCAATCTAGTGTCTAATTGGCCGTAAACAGGGTAGCGGCGGCAATGATATACGGCCTTGTATCGTGGGGTCATCAGATCCGCTCTCCCGGCTGCCACATCGTTTGTCTTGGGCGCCTTTTTGTTGACTACAGTAATTGGAGCATAGGTAGTGTGGATAGTACAGTATCGTATTGCTTAATTTGCGAGATTTTCAGTACGCTTAACACCTAATTGCACCCCAAAAATTGTTTTTTTGCCGGAATTTTGACCAGATATGCTGCAAATTTTTGCAAGACTATTTGGTGCCTTTTTAGGCTAATTATGGTTATTTTAGCATACAAAACTTTACAAAAAAATTTTTGGATTTTTAAATATTAAGAATTTTTCTACTGTAGTCCTAGTATTGAAAATTATTTAAAATAAATGGCGTAAATTTATTTTAGATTACTGTAACATTTAAAAAGCGATATAACACGACTTTTTCAAAAATCAAAAATATATTTTCCAAATGCTTGAATTTTTCAAAATTTTTAAAAAATGGCATGGTGATTTTAGTATTAAATTTTTGACTGTATTGTAAAATTATTGTAGATTACTGTAGTACAAAAATATATTGTTAAGACAGGAAATTTTACAAAAAATTCTAGCAGTTGCTGTCCTTTAAAACCGGGTTTTTTAGTTTAAACTTTTTCTCTAATTTTCGAGTTATTGAGGGCTTGATTTACCCATCAAATTATCTGATACATGTCGTAATCATTTCCCGGGTCCCGAATCTGTTTGAAGAACCACAAAAAAAACAGCGGCAATCTGCTCAAACTCTCCCCTCTTATCCCCTATCCCCCTTTCCAACCTTGACTTGTGTTTTTCCACCTTCCCCCCTTTTTTACCGCTACTCCGACCCATTTCTCTCCACGCCCATCCTATCCACAGACCACCGCGCAAAATCCGCTAGGTTCTTCGAGGTGCAGCCAATTGATTTGGCATGAACCTGCAGCAGGCAACAATTTGTTTTTTTTTTAATTTTTTTTTTGGTATGTAATCTCGACGTTAAACTCTAAATAAATTTTCGCCATTATCGCCTTTGAATTTACGTTATCGGGCCTCATTTCAAATACTACTGAACCGGCAAAACCGGCTCTAACTGCGAGAGCGGAATGTTGGCAGGAGACGGAGCTCAAACGCGGGATTGTTGCTGTCCTAGCCCCTTTAAAATTTGGAAAGTTGTGATCTTTTTGCTTAGGTTTATGGCGGTTTATATCTCGCTCCGTCTCTCTTCTCTATCTGTCCCTCTCTGTTTGCCTCTCTCTCTCACACTCTCGTTCTCTCTCTTGCTCTCGCCGTTTCACATCGTTCTCCTTC